TTTGTTGTCATTTCTGTTGTCCGGGTTATTTCAAGGTTGTAATCCGGATATTGTCTTGTGACTCAAACCCTTCTATCCTTTCATTATGTCCAGTTCTTTTAGTCGTAATATCTCATTCAGTGTTATCTAGGTTTATTTTAGGATTGTACCCCAGTTTACTTGTTTTGTTGTTTAAACCCTTTCACCGTCTGTCTAATGCAATTCTCTGTTTTCTACCATTTCTAGTCATTTTGTTTAGTTCTTTTCTCCTCTTTACAATTCTTTTCATGCTGGTTCTAGTGACATGACATGCACGCATAATTCTCAGCCTGGTTTTAAAAGTTAGTTTGGCCATGAAGCAATGAAACAATGTTAAAGATATAGGGACACTTGAGGGAAATAAGAACAGATTTGGACATTTTGAGAGTATTTGAAGCCCGAACCATGTGAAACTGGGACAAATAAAACACAGAGAAACCCTATTGGGGTGCATCATGCCGCATCAGGTTGAAGCTAAAGGCAAGTTTGCCCGAATTGTTAGGAGCCGTTCGTGGTAAGGAAAGTGAGAGTGTTGTCCAATGGTGCTTTGTATTCAACAGATGTAGAAGGCGGATGTGTGGATATGGTTACCGAGTCTAGTACAATCAAAAGATGTTGCGAATGTTTTCTGTGGTTTGTTTAACTGTGTTACTCGTACTTGGCATGTTTTGAAGATTGGAATGACGAAGGCATTTTGTTCTGCTATCTAAACGCTTTATCCCACGTTACCCCTTTGAGCCTATTTATTTTCTTTCATACCCCTCTTTCGGAATCAGTAGCAAAGATTAGAAACACAAGCGTAAAAGATAAGTAAAGGAAAAAGAGAAAAGGAAAGAATGAAAAGAGAGAGAAGGAAAAAAGGAAGTAGAAAAGAGAAAAGAGAAGAAAAAGAAAAGAAAAAAAAAGAAAAGAAAAAAAAATAAAAAGAAAAAGAAAGAAAAACAAAACAACAAAAGAGAAAATGAAGAAAGAAAAGAAAAGAAGAGAAAGAGGAAGAAAAAGGAACGAAAAATCACAACAACAAAATAATTTCTATGACATGAACTACGTTTGACTTGATTCCGAAAGGATACATAGGCAGCCTCTCTCTGAGATTCAGTCACACCAAAATAAAAATCC